TGTCTGTCCCCGTGTCCCCGTGTGTGTCCCCGTGTGTGTCCCTGTGTCCCCGTGTCTGTCCCCGTGTCCCCGTGTGTGTCCCCGTGTCCCCATGTCTGTCCCCGTGTCCCCGTGTCCCCGTGTCCCCGTGTGTGTCCCCGTGTGTGTCCCCATGTCTGTCCCCGTGTCGCCGTGTGTGTCCCCGTGTCCCCATGTCTGTCCCCGTGTCCCCGTGTCCCCGTGTGTGTCCCCATGTCTGTCCCCATGTCTGTCCCCATGTCTGTCCCCGTGTGTGTCCCCGTGTCCCCGTGTGTGTCCCCATGTCTGTCCCCGTGTCCCCGTGTCCCCGTGTGTGTCCCCGTGTCCCCGTGTCTGTCCCCGTGTCCCCGTGTCGCCAGGACCCCCCTGCACTATGCGGCAGCCAATGGCAGTTATCAGTGCACGGTGACGCTGCTGACGGCCGGGGCTGCCGTCAACGAGCCCGACGGCAAAGGGTGCACGGCCCTGCACTACGCGGCTGCCTCCGACACCTACCGCAGGTGAGACACACCTGGACAGGTGAGACACACACCTGGGCAGGGGAGACACACACCTGGGCAGGGGAGACACACCTGGGCAGGGGAGACACACCTGGGCAGGTGAGACACACACCTGGGCAGGGGAGACACACACCTGGGCACGTGAGACACACCTGGGCAGGGGAGACACACACCTGGGCAGGGGAGACACACACCTGGGCAGGTGAGACACACACCTGGGCAGGGGAGACACACCTGGGGGGTCACCACACACACCTACCGCAGGTGAGACACCTGGCACTGGGGGGCACCGCTGGCACCAACCTGAGGTGGCATCGTGGGCGTTGTCACCAACCCACGGTGGCAGTGGTGGCACTGTGGTGGCACCGTGCCTGTTGTCACTAACCCGGGGTGTCTCTGGTGGCACTGGGGGTGGCACCGTGCCCGGTGTCACCAAGGCTCGGTGTCCCAGTGGCACTGAGGGTGACACTGGGGTGGCACTGGGGGTGTCTCTGGTGGCACTGGGGGTGGCACAGGGGGTGGCACTGGGGTGGCACCGTGCTCAGTGTCACCAAGGCCGGGTGTCCCGGTGGCACTGGGGGTGTCTCTGGTGGCACTGGGGTGTCACCGTGGTGTCACCAAGGCTCGGTGTCACCAAGGCCGGGTGTCCCGGTGGCACTGGGGTGTCTCTGGTGGCACAGTGGTGGCATTGGGGGTGTCACAGTGGTGGCACCGTGCCCGGTGTCACCAAGGCCGGGTGTCCCGGTGGCACTGGGGTGTCTCTGGTGGCACAGTGGTGGCACTGGGGTGTCTCTGGTGGCACTGGGGGTGTCACAGTGGTGGCACCGTGCCTGGTGTCACCATGGCCGGGTGTCCCGGTGCCGTTCCAGGGCGGAGCCTCATCCCGGGAGCAGCGAGGAGGAGCCCCTGAAGGAGTCCAGGCTGAAAGAGGCGTTCTTGTGAGTGCTGGGATGGACTGGGA